ACTGGATTATATGTCAGTGTAGACTACGGGCCCTTCTACACTATCATTTAATCCAGAATATCAAGACAAATAATCAACATTATCTGCTTTAAACTGGATTACCTGAGCCTGCACTGCCATATAATCCAGTTCAAATCAGATAATCTGGACTTTATACAGCTGTTTAGAAGAGGCCTCATATAGTCCATGTCAAATCAGATAATGGATTTTATGCTTTGATAAACTGGATTATCTGGCGGTGTGGAAGGGGCCTCAGAAATGGTTCTGTCTACAGCTCCTGTGTTTCTTGTCTCCCTTCCACCCAAATACTAACCAGGGCTAACTCTATTTAGCCCCAGGACATAGTGTCTGTGGCCCCTTCTACTCAGTTGTATAAAATCCAGATTATCTGCTTTGAACTGGATTATCCGGGGGCCCTTCCACAGAGCCCTATACCCCAGAATATCAAAGCAGGAAATCCCACATTACCTGAACGTGGACTCAGATAACCCAGTTCAAAGCAGGTACTGGGTTTTTCTGCCTTGATATTCTGGGATATAGGGCTGTGTGGAAGGGCCCTGGGTCTACACTGCCAGATAATCCAATTCAAGGTAGATAATTTGGATTTTACGTGGCAGTGTACAAAGGGCCTCAGATAATGCAATTCAAAGCAGATGTGGATTATCTGTTTTGTTATTCTGGATTATATGGTAGTGTAGAAGAACCCTTTAAAGGTTGTTATAGGTTTTTTCGGGCTATATGGCCATGTTCTAGAGGCATTTTCTCCTGACATTTCGCCTGCATCTATGGCAAGCATCCTCAGAGGTAGTGAGGTCTGTTGGAACTAGGAAAATGGGATTATATATCTGTGGAATGACTCTTATCTGATGGAGCTAGGTGTGAATGTTTCAACTGACCACGTTGATTAGCATTTGATGGCCTGGCTGTGCCTTTACCCCAAGCTCTGGAGGTACTTGGCTTGCCCCACCCTGGTCATTCCACAGATATATAAACCCATTTTCCTAGTTCCAATAGACCTCATTACCTATGAGGATGCTTGCCATAGATGCAGGCGAAACGTCAGGAGAAAATGCCTCTAGAACATGGCTATATAGACCCGAAAAAAACCTATAACAACCTTTAAAGGGTTCTTCTACACTACCAACTCGACATGTCGAGTTGAGAAGGGGGCAAGCTTGTTTTCTGCTGCTCTAGAGCATGCACGGGCTAACAAAACTGGTTAAAAGTCTGGAGGCCAAGCTCTATGACAGGCATAGGCAAACTTGGGCCCTCCAGGTGTTTTGGACTTCAACTCCCACAATTCCTAACAGCCTACCGGCTGTTAGGAATTGTGGGAGTTGAAGTCCAAAACACCTGGAGGGCCCAAGTTTGCCCGTGCCTGCTCTGGAGACTAGGGACACAATGGAGCCCTGGTTTCAAATCACAGGAAAAGAGTTCCCACCTAAACATTAGGAAGAGCTTCCTGATGGTAAGAACTTTCAGTCAGTGGAATATCCTGCTGCCTGGGAATCGGGGGATTCTGCTTCTCTGGAGATTTTTAAACAGAAACTGGATGGACATTTGGCAAATTCATTAGGCATCTCCCATTGCTTGGGATCACAAAGAACAGAATCCAGATCTGTAACAACAAGGGTTTTCTGAAAGGAAAGAAGCTGATTCAGAACACACCTGTGCTAGCATGCTTCATGGTCACGTAGAGCCCTTCGACACAGCCATATAATCCAAACTATCAAGGTAGATAATCCACAATATGTGGTTCGACTGGATTATCTGAGTCTACACTGCCTGATAATCCAATTCAATGTGGATTTTATATAGCTGTGTGGAATAGGCCTCAGATAGTGTCTTCCTGCCTGCAAGAAGGGGGGTTGGACTGGAAGGCCTTTGGGGGACTCTTTCAATGCTAAGATTCTGTGATTCGAAGGTCCCTTATACACAGCTGTATAAAATCCCACATTATCCAATTTGAACTGGATTATATGGCAGTGGGGACCTTGTCTCCTGTGCTGTTCTAATAATATATAATATATTGTATATACATATAATATTTATAATATTATAATGTAATGCAATATTATAATAATAATAATAATAATAAGTTATTATAATTATATATTTATATTGCATGTAATTCAAAGTGCTGGCTTTAGCCTTTAAAGCCCTAAATGGTTCTGGCCTGACCTATCTGTCCGAACGCATCTCCTCCTATGAATCAGTTAGGACGTTAAGATCGTCTGGAGAGGCCCTGCTCTCGATCCCGCCGGCTTCATAAGCACACCTGGCGGGGACGAGAGACGGGGCCTTCTCAGTGGTGGCCCCTCGGCTGTGGAACGCCCTTCCTGCAGATATTAGATCGACCCCCTCCTTGCTGGCATTCCGGAGGAAAGTGAAGACCTGGCTGTTTGAACAGGCATTCGACTAAGCAGTGTGATTGATTGATTGACTATCGGAACACGGAATATCAGATAAAGAGTTTGGATTCTGATTTCATTTATGAGACCTGATGGATTTGTTATATTGATGTACTGATGTATTGATATTAATGTTTAATGATTTGTGATGCTATTGCTTTTAAATGCTTAATCAGTTCGGCCCCCTCCTTACTGACATTCCGGAGAAAAGTGAAGACCTGGCTGTTTGAACAGGCATTTGACTAAGCAGTGCAATTGATTGATTAGCAGAACATGGAATAATGGATAACGAGACTGGATTCTGATTCTAGTGATGAGATCTGATGGATTTGTTATATTGATGTATTGATGTATTGTTGTATTGATGTTTATTGTTTAATTAACTTGTTATGTGATTGCTTTTAAATACCCAATAACCTTGTACTTTGTATACTGAACCTGTTGCTGTTAACCGCTCTGAGCCGCCTAAGGTGCTGGCATTGGCCTATAAAGCCCTAAACGGTTCCGGCCCAAGATACCTATCTGACCGCATCTCGACCTATGAGCCCACCAGGACTTTGAGATCGTCCGGGGAGGCCCTGCTCTCGATCCCGCCTGCTTCACAGGCACGGCTGGCGGGGACGAGAGATAGGGCCTTCTCGGTGGTGGCTCCTCGGCTGTGGAACACCCTTCCCGTGGACATCAGACTGGCTCCTTCCCTGATGATATTCCGCAGGAAATTAAAGACTTGGCTGTTCAAGAAGGCGTTCGAACAAGAAGTGCAATAATTGGTAATGACGACAGGAATGGAACAACGGAAAATGATACTGGATTGTGGTTTGGACGATGAGACGACGCGGAATGGCTTTCGTAGTAATGATGATGTTTCTTGATGATGATGTTTTTTGTTAATGATGGATTGTGGATTATTTTATATTGTGTCTTGTATTTTGAACCTTGTTCTTTCTATGTTGTACACCGCTGTGAGTCGCCCCTGGGCTGAGAACAGCGGTATAGAAGCAAAGTAAATAAATAAGGGCTGAGAAGAGCGGTATACAAAATAAAAGTAAATAAAATAAATAAATAAATAAGTATTTTTAGATAGGAAAGATTCTGCACCTACACTGAAGAATTAATGCAGTTTGACACCACTTTATTTATTTATTTATTTATTTACCTTGCTTATATACCGCCGTTCTCAGCCCGAAGGCGACTCACAGCGGTTCACAACAAATACAAACAACAAAAATTCAGTGCTACAGTATAGAAACAGTTAACAACCTAACACATTACACAATTAATAAACAGTTACTACAATACCCATTCACTGTCGTCTCGTCATCAAAAACATGTTCCAGATTCGTCATCCATTGTTCCATTCCAGTGTTCATTAACCAATCATTGCACTAATTATTCGAACGCCTGCTCAAACAGCCAGGTCTTCACTTTTTTGCGGAATACCATTAGAGATGGTGCTAGTCTAATGTCCGTAGGAAGGGCGTTCCACAGCCAAGGAGCCACCACCGAGAAGGCCCTATCTCTCGTCCCCGCCAGCCGTGCTTGAGAAGCAGGCGGGATCGAGAGCAGGGTCTCCCTGGAAGATCTCAAAGTCCTGGTGGGTTCATAGGCAGAGATGCGGTCAGATAGGTAGCTTGGGCCGGAACCGTTTAGGGCTTTAAAGGCCAACGCCAGCACTTTGAATTCAGCCCGGTAGCAGATCGGTAGCCAGTGGAGTTGGCGCAACAGGGGGGTTGTATGCTCCCTGCGCTCCGCTCCTGTTAAAATCATGGCTGCCGAGCGTTGGACTAGTTGGAGCTTCCGAGCTGTCTTCAAAGGCAACCCCACGTAGAGAGCGTTGCAGTAGTCTACACGGGATGTAACCAGAGCGTGGACTACTTTAACCCCCTCAATGCTATGCAATCCTGGGAGTTGCAGTTGGACAAAGTCTCTGGCCTTCCCTTCCAAAGAGGGATGGTGTCTCATCAAACTACAACTCCTAGGATTCCCATAGCAGTTAAAGCGGAGTCGAACCGTGTTAATAATGCAGTGCAGAGGCTCTTGGCTTAGAATCATAGAATCAAAGAGTTGGAAGAGACCTCATGGGCCATCCAGTCCAACCCCATTCTGCCAAGAAGCAGGAATATTGCATTCAAAGCACCCCTGACAGATGGCCATCCAGCCTCTGTTTAAAAGCTTCCAAAGAAGGAGCCTCCACCACACTCCGGGGCAGAGAGTTCCACTGCTGAACGGCTCTCAGTCAGGAAGTTCAGATGGAATCTCCTCTCTTGTAGTTTGAAGCCACTGTTCCGCGTCCTAGTCTCCAGGGAAGCAGAAAACAAGCTTGCTCCCTCCTCCCTGTGGCTTCATCTCACATATTTATACATGGCCCTCATCATATCTCCTCTTAGCCTTCTCTCCTTCAGGCTAAACATGCCCAGCTCCTTAAGCCGCTCCTCATAGGGCTTGTTCTCCAGACCCTTGATCATTTGTTTCCAACTGAATGAACAGGGACCATAAAAGCAGAGACAAAGGGGCGAGGGAGAGGGACAGAGAGGACCCAGAAGCCCGAGGGAAGCGACTTGCCCCGCAAAGCCTTTCAAATGGACTCACCTGCCTCTCTTCCCCACTGGCTTCCAAAAGCAGCAGCTTCAAAAACTCCCCCACTTCCTGTTTCCTTCTCCTTCCGGTTCTACGGGTCGCGAGAGGGATCGAAAGTTTCTGGAACGCGCGAAGTTTTTGCCAGGCTTCTGAATAGAACGCGAGGACTGGGAAAGCGAGAAGGCGCTCTACGGGCCGCGGGAGGGGCCAGAAACCTCCGAAATGCGCGAAGAAAAGTCTTTCTTTTGTTTTCCAGGCTTCTGCAGAATGAATGAATGGAAGTTTGACTCCCATGGGAGCCTGGGACTTGTAGGAACATGAAAGGCACTGCAGACTACTTCAACCAGAGAAGTCAGCCATAGCAGAGCACCTGATGAACCAGCCTGGACACAGCATATTATTTGAGAACACAGAAATACTGGACCACTCTCACAACCACCATGTCAGGCTACACAGAGAAGCCATTGAAATCCACAAGCATGTGGACAATTTCAACAGAAAGGAAGAGACCATGAAAATGAACAAAATCTGGCTACCAGTATTAAAAAACTCTAAAATTACAACAGCAAAACAGCAGAGAGGAAACAAACAAAGACATCTAATCACCTCTCAACAAAAGTTTGCCCCAGGCACTGTCAGGCCATTATATGCTAATCAAGGTGGTCCGTTGAAACATTCACACCTAGCTCCAGCAGACAAGAGTCCTTTGTCCCACCCTGGTCATTCCACAGATATATAAATCCATTTTCCTAGTTCCAACAGACCTCACTACCTCTGAGGATGCTTGCCATAGATGCAGGTGAAACGTCAGGAGAGAATGCCTCTAGAACATGGCCATATAGCCCGAAATAACCTACAACAACCTAAGGACTGCTGTGTTTGATTACTCCAAGGAGAGAGCTGCTTCAGTTTCAGCTGCTTCATATTAACACCTCTCAACAAAACATTTTCCCAGGCTCAGGCAGGCCTTCAAATGCTAATGAAGGTGGTCAGCTGAAACATTCACACCTAGCTCCAGCAGACAAGAGCTCTTTGCCCCAACCCAGTCATTCCACAGATATATAAACCCACTTTCTTAGTTCCAACAGACCTCACTACCTCTGAGGATGCTTGCCATAGATGCAGGCAAAACGTCAGGAGAAATGCCTCTAGAACATGGTCCTATAGCCCGAAAAAAACCTACAAGAACCTAGTGCCCTGTTGATATCTTAAGGTTTTCTTATATGATGAATACCCAGATGTGGTTTTGTCAGTTCCCCTGAAATAAAAAAAGTCCAAAGCACCTGGGATTTGTGGGTCCCATCCAAGTCCTAGCCAGGGCTGATCCTGCTTAGCTTCCAGGATCAGATGGTATTACATTAAGGATATATTAGTTGGACCAACTACCTGGCTGCTCCATCTGTTGCATGAGCTAGATCTCTCTAAAAGATAGTTCAAAATCAGGGAATTCATAGTTTTGCCAAGGACAGCAGGCTGGAATGATCCCATAATCTCCTATCTCTCCTCTTGTTTTTATGAATGGACTTTGGCTACTCAGTGCTTTTATGAACTCTTATTTATTTATATGCCACTCTTCTCATCCTGAACGGGACTCAGAGCAGCCTGCAAGTAATATGTAAATACATTTTGTTGTTGTTCATTCGTTCAGTCGTCTCCGACTCTTCGTGACCTCATGGACCAGCCCACGCCAGAGCTCCCTGTGGGCTGTCACCACCCCCAGCTCCTTCAAGGTCAGTCCAGTCACTTCAAGGATGCCATCCATCCATCTTGCCCTTGGTCGGCCCCTCTTCCTTTTGCCTTCCACTTTCCCCAGCATAATTGTCTTCTCTAGGCTTTGCTGTCTCCTCATGATGTGGCCAAAGGACTTCACCTTTGTCTCTAGTATCCTTCCCTCCAGTGAGCAGTCGGGCTTTATTTCCTGGAGGATGGACTGGTTGGATCTTCTCGCAGTCCAAGGCACTCTCAGCACTTTCCTCCAACACCACAGCTCAAAAGCATCGATCTTCCTTCGCTCAGCCTTCCCTAAGGTCCAGCTCTCACATCCGTAGGTGACTACAGGGAAGACCATGGCTTTGACTAGGCAATGGATCTTTGTTGCCAGTCTGATGTCTCTACTCTTTACTATTTTATCGAGACTGGACATTGCTCTCCTCCCAAGAAGGAAGCGTCTTCTGATTTCCTGGCCACAGTCTGCATCTGCAGTCATCTTTGCACCTAGAAATACAAAGTCTGTCACGGCCTCCACATTTTCTCCCTCTATTTCCCAGTTGTCAATCATTCTTGTTGCCATCATCTTGGTTTTTTTTACGTTTAGCTGCAACCCAGCTTTTGCGCTTTCTTCTTTCACCTTGATTAGAAGGCTCCTCAGCTCCTCCTCGCTTTCGGCCATCAGAGTGGTGTCATCTGCATATCTGAGGTTGTTAATGTTTCTTCCAGCAATTTTCACCCCAGCCTTGCATTCATCAAGCCCCGCACATCCTCGCATGATGTGTTCTGCATACAAGTTAAAAAGGTTGGGTGAGAGTCTGCAGCCTTGCCGTACGCCTTTCCCAATCTTGAACCAGTCTGTTGTTCCGTGGTCAGTTCTGACTGTTGCTCCTTGGTCCTTGGACAGATTCCTCAGGAGAGAGGGAAGGGGGCTTGGGATGCCCATCCCACCAAGAACTTGCCACAATTTATTATGATCCACACAGTCAAAGGCTTTAGAATAGTCAATGAAGCAGAAATAGATGTTTTTCTGAAACTCCCTGCCTTTCTCCATTCATTATTCTTATATTATTACCATAGCACAATATTAGTATTATATATACTATACCATTACACTGTAATATTATTAGTAATATTACATGTAATATAAAATATATAATTATAATATCATAATATTATTAGTATTATATTGTATTACATTATAATATTATTGTGCCTTCACACCCAGACCCTATAAAAATAAAACTAAGATGTGCTTCTCTCTTTGTCTGGGTGGACCGCGGGGGTCTTTCTTTAGAAGCTTGAGATTCCAGCAACTGAGGCTACTACAGGCTTTGAACATCAAAACAGAATATTTATTTCTCAAAGTCCTTGCAGACTTGGCACAGCTTGGCAAAGTTACAAACAAAACAGACAATTGGTGAAACTGTAGAGATGATCTTTCTTTCCTTTCCTTCAGTTACTTAGGTAACTTTTCCCCAAAAGGCAGAAGAAAATCCTGGGATCTTTTCACCCTAACCCTGAGCTGCTATGGTTAGAAAAAAGCAGGTTTTTTCCCTATCTATAGCTCAAGGTTAGCTTTGGAGATGAAGTAACACTCAATAATACTCAATGACTCAATATCTATAACTCAATAAGCTTCTTTATCTATATAACTCAATCTATCTTTTTATCTGTAACTCAATTACTATCTATATCTCAATCAGTATCTATGTCTCAATCTCAATCTATAGTATCTCAATCAGCTTCTTTATATCTTAATCAGTATCTCAATCAATATATAGATGCAAGGTACAAAGGTAAAAACACAGGATCCAAGGATGCAAAATCCAGAGAACCAAGATAGCATGGAAATCCAATATATATGAAACATGAAACTAGAAATCCCCTTGGAAACAAGATGTTCATAAAACTCCAACGTTGCCCAGACTAATCTAAAATCCTTTCTCCATCTCATACAAAGGTTGTCCTGTCTCATGAAGTAAAAGGAAAACATTCTGTTTACCTTTACAACCAGATAAGATCCTCTTTTCTCTCTTTTCTAATAAACCGGTTGACCTTTGAGGAACTTGGGAACTTTCCCTTATTTCCTGTATTCCACAGATATATAAACCCTTTTTCCTAGTTCCAACAGACCTCACTACCTCTGAGGATGCTTGCCATAGATGCAGGCGAAATGTCAGGAGAGAATGCCTCTAGACCATGGCCATATAGCCCGAAAAAAACCTACAACAACCCAACTTTCCTTTAGTTTACAAAAGTTTTGCTTCTATCTCATGAACTTCTGCACCTGACAATTCATCCTCAGAAGACAGTTCCCCAGAGAAAGGCTGCTGTGAGCCCCTTTCAGGAATTTGACCTTCAGAATCTACAGGAGAAGCACTCCATTCATTTTCAAGACTTGAAACCTCCTGCCTTTTAGCAAGGCCAGGACTTGAAAGCTCAGGCTCAGAAAAACCATCATCCCCAGTGACATCAGACATAATCACCAGTTGAACAATAAATAACAGTGAAAAACAAACATTTTTATACAGTATAGTTCTTTGAAATTCCCACTCCCATCCCAGCTGGAGCCAGCTCTGCTGTGATTGGCTGAGCCCTGCTGATGTCATAATTATTTTGGCAGGATTCCCTGGAGAGGCGAGACTTCAGCCCCCACCAGTCAATAGGAGAGTGCTCCCAATGTAGATTTCCGCTCTCCAATGGCTGAAGACGGACAGGATGGAAACTTCAGACAAAGAAGACTCCATTTTATGATTGCATTACATTGACAAAGCAGGACCCACAGGTCCCATAAGTTATATTGTGGTGATGATTGTCTTTATGAGCCCCGACCGCGCAGGTCTGTGACTCTGCACCAGTGCCCATTATACTACAAAGCAGCATGTTGTCCAAGATGATAGGATTATGACTCTCCCTGGGAAAGGGGGAAATGTCAATGTGGAAAGAAGAGGCAAGTCATCCCAACATCAGGGAAGAAAATGCCAAGTGATGTGGCTGCACAAAAAACAGGTGGTCCAACTCTGAAGCCTGTTGTATCTGCACAGCCAGTGGTATGGGTCACAGATGATGGGTGATTGAGTCCTTTGTAAGTAGGTGATGATCAGGAAAACTTTCACCTGAAGAACAGACAAGCATTCCGAGCTCTGAGGATTACCTGGGACGGAATCTCATTGGAGCATTGCAACACACCCAAATACCTGGGAGTCACTTTGGACCGTGCTCTGACCTACAAGAAGCACTGCCTGAACATCAAGCAAAAAGTGGGCGCTAGAAACAACATCATACGAAAGCTGACTGGCTCAACCTGGGGATCACAACCAGACACAGTGAAGACATCTGCCCTTGCGCTATGCTACTCTGCTGCTGAGTATGCATGCCCAGTGTGGAACACATCTCACCACACTAAAACAGTAGATGTGGCT